GGAAAATGTTGGAGCACAAAAGGTGAAGCACGCGTATTTGGGCCTTTAAATATAGTACTTTTGCTGTCAATATAGTAAATAACTGCATACTTGCACAATACTTGTGTGCTTAAATTGACTAGACCTTCATTTTTCAACTGAGTCTAAAGTAGTATCGCATCGTATCACCGCAGAAGACCAACCGGTGTTGTCTAATTTATTTGAAAGAGAGGGTTTTCAAATGCGGCCTGAGCTTCGAGCATCAGTTGCCTTCCAAACCTACGAAGTGCTCTCATATACCTGGTAGATTCTGCCAAAGCCACTACTTACCAGCCAGCCGCCTAGTATCAACCCACAAACCCCCTCCCCTATTTCCGTGACTTACTTCTGTGATAAGACAAACGTTATAACTCGCTTATTTGACGTTCACCCTGTCCCCATATAAATGTAACCGCCTGTCCAAATGCTCAACTGAATTCAACTACTAACTGTTATCCCCTCTCCTTCGATAGTTCCCAATCCACCTCCACATATCCAAGCAGTGCGCATAAACCAACGCCAGATAAAAGTGACTTGGAACCTGCCACAGCGTACAGATGCTCAACCCGGCACACCAGAATACCGCCCCGTGCCAGTGACCGGATTCCGTATTTACTACTCCAAGTATGACAACATTGGCGACCAGGAAGCCTGGGACATCCTCGAGGTGGGTGCCGTCACGATGGCCACTCTGGACGGCCTAATACCCTCCGAGAGCTATGTGATCCGGATCAAGTCCCGGGGTACAGATAAACGCTACGGCAACTGGAGCAGTCCCGTAATTGTGCCGGCTGATCGCTATGGGCTGGATCAAAGAGGCAACTTTATGGGCCGTGTTCAGGATCTGCGCTGTGTCAGCACAAAAAGTGACACATACGGTCAGGCCAGTCTGCGTATAATGTGGTTGCCGCCGCCGGATAAACGACTACTGAAGGAGTACCAGGTTGGTTTCTTGAAGGTTTTTTATTCGATTCCAGTGTCCTTTGCCTTTGGCAGCATTGCTCATCTGTCTACATTGCTAGAAACTGTGTGGCTGTAAAATTGAATCCTGAGGCAGAGTGGGACGATTGAGCCCCATGACTGATATGTGAGCGTTCAATAGCAAATGTGTGTGTTCCAGGTCTAAACCAACAAGTCAACGAGCTCGTCTGCCCTAAAGTTCGTGGGTTCGATGCTCTGGTGGGACGCCACTTGGGGTTGTCTATGACTGGTTGATGACGACTAATGGGCCAGAAATGGCCATTCCAGTCTTTATTGTTTTTGCGGGCAACGTTAATTCCTTTGCACAACTAGCCGCTGTGCGGCTTTTGCCAGGGCTCGAGAGTGTGCCCCAAGCAGGAACGGACGAGTGAATAACGTTCGCAAGCTTTATTGTCAGGCTTTGCGGTAAATTTCAGGAATGGCAAATATGCCCTCGTCTTACCCCTACTATAAGCCCTATTGTTAGGGGGTTTAGTAGGTTAACTTAATTCAGTTGGCCCAGTTGTGAAAAAAAAATTCGGCCTCGATAGAAATCGAACCCACACAGCAGGGAATGCTTTTGCACAACCAAGGCTCAACCATTGTAGTTATGCAAAAATTCCCATTTCACGATTGAAGAGTCATATTGGGAAACAGTTGTTTTCGGTTTTTCGTCAGCAGGACGGTTCATGACATGGGGATAAAAATGGTCAATTAATTGCAGCGTTTATATAACCGTCAGGTTGGGGGGGAGGAAGGGGGTTAGTAGGTGGGTGAGTGTAATTAAGCATCTGGGTTTTCCCTC